TTGTTAAATTTCAGATTTTGTTCATGTATTGTTTTCCTGATTTCATTGAATTATCTTTCTGTATTTTCTTGAAGTTCATTAAGTTTTCTCAAAACACCTATTTTGAATTCTTTATCAACTGGATTGTAAAATTCCATATCTTTTATTTTGGTATTGGAGGATAATTGTTATCTTTTGTTAATGACATGTTTCCTTGATTCTTCATGTTCCTTGGAGTTTTGTGCTGCTTTTGCATTCGAAGTAGCAGACACTGCCTCAAATCTTTACTAGTTACCTTCAGGTGGGAAATAGTGTTCGTTGGTCCTGTTATATCTGGGGTTTTCTCTGACCTTATGGATACACCTGCTCTATGCTTCTTGCTCCCTTGTGCGGTATAATTTTTAAGCTTTTATGTCTTCTCTGGTCTTACAGCTCACCAGGCGGGCTGCTAGAAACCTCTCTTTTGTTTTCCAGAAGGTGGCACTATAGCTCAAGTTTATGGTTTCTCTCTTGCCCACAGACCCTGGTCTGATATTCTGAGAGCAGTCCTTTTGTTGCAGCTCACTCTTGCCACTGCACTCAGGAGCATGCATAAGGTGCTGACTGCAGGGTGGAGGGAGGTGTAGGTTTAGCACTCTGGGCATTGGGGTGACTCTGGGACCGGTGGGAAGATCATCAGGTGAGGGTCTCCCAGAGGCTTGTGATCAGACTTCCTGCTGAAGTCCTGTGTGCAGTCATCAGAAACTGTGTCCCTTTAATGTCCTTTGATATTTTTATCTGCCTCTTTCCTGATCTCCCTCCACACCTCCCTGCCCACCTCCAAGTCATGGAGGTCCTGCCTCAGTACTCTGGGTGCTGCTGGAGAGAAACAGACTTCTCCAGTGGCTTGTCACACAGCTAAGGTAGCCAGGCACTCCCTCACTGCTCTCCCTTTCCCCTGGGGGAGAGGTCACCACTGGCTAGGTCAGGCCTACACTGTGTTGCCTTGGGGGAGGGTTGGTGCTGGCAAAGTTCTTTTTACCTTCTCTAATGTGTCAAAACTCATTTTTTTTTTTTCCCTCCAATGACATGCTGGAATCCTCCCCTCTGCAAGGCTGGACTTGTATGAATTCTCTCTCATCCATGAGTGCCTGCCCAAGTCAGTGCTCTTCAGTGCTCTTCGACCATGGCCAAGAGAGGTTGGGGCAGGTTCACTGGTCCTGTTGGTTCTACAGCCTATACCGAGGTCTGTCTGCCTATTACTGATACACACAGGTGGACAGGACCCAGATCCTTTGGCATATGGTGCTGGATCCTATAACTCCCACAGAGGCACTTTTATTTGTGAATGGATGCCTAATTAGTTGTTACAAAAGGGGAACAAAAAGGAGGCATGTCGTATGCTTCCATGATGTTGATATCACCCCACTTGTCCTTGTTATATTCAGAGTTGAACTCCGTTTCTCTGCCCTATTGTGATAGTCTTGACCCTTATTGCAGTAGTGTTGAATAAAGTCTTCCTTACTGTTTTTCACAAGTGTCAGAATCATTTCTCTTTAATAGTATCTCTCTTCCAATATCCTTCTTGCCTTGTTCTTTTTAGTGGGTTCCTTATGATTTTCTATATACTGGATCATGCCATCTGAAAAAAGATAATTTTAATTCTTCCTTTCCAATCTGGATGCCTTTCATTTCTTTCTCCTGCCTAATTGCCCTGGCTTGAACTTTTAGTACGTTGTTGAATAAAAGTGGCGTTAAGTGTTGTCTTATTCTTGATCTTAGGGAGTCTTTCACTATTAAGTATGGTGTTATCTGTGGGTCTTTCATGGTTGTTGAGTGATTTTATCATGAAAAGATGTTGGATTTTGTCACGTGCTTTTTTGCATCTATTGAAATCATATTGTTTTTGTCCTTTATTGTATTAATATGGTGTATTACAATAATTGATTTTTGAATATTAAATCAACCTTATGTTTCTTCAAATAAATGCCACTTCATCATGTTGTATAATCCTTTTTCTGTATTGCTAGATTTGTTCTACTGGTATTTTATTGAGTATTTTTTTATGTTTATGTTCATAAGAGACATTGATCTGTTGTTTTTCTTTTCTTGTGATGTCTTTGTCTGGTCTTGATACGAGAGCAATACTGGCTTCATAGGATGAGTTGAGGTCTTCCTTCCTTTTCTATTTTTGGAAGAGTTTTTGAAAAATTGGTATTAATCCTTCTTGAAATGTTTGGTAGGATTCACCTTTGAAGCCATCCAGGCCTGGGCTTTTCTTTGTGCAAAGTTCAAAAATTATTGATTCAATCTCTTTTTTTGTTGAAACTCTATTCAGATTTTCTATTTCTTTTTGAGTCTGTTTTGGTGGTTTGTGTCTTTCTAGGGATTTACCCATTTCATTTAAGTTATCTAATGTGTTGACATAGTCTTGTTCATAGTGTTCTCTTAGGATCCCTTTCATTTCTGTGAAGTTGATAGTGATTATTTTGGTAATTTGAGTCTTCTCTTTTCTTCTTGGTCAATTTATGCAAATGTTTGTCAATTTTGTTGATCTTTTCAAAAAACCTACTTTTGCTTTCATTGATTCTCTCTATTGTTTGTTCTGTATTTCATTTTTTTCTGCTCTAATCTTTATTATTTTCTTCCCTCTTGTTAGCTTTGGATTTAATTTACTCTTTTTCCAGTTCCTTAAGGTGGAAATTTAGGTTATTAATTTCAGATCTTTTGTCTTAGTCTACTCAGACTACAGTAAACAGTTACCATAGACTGGGTGACGTAAACAATAAAAATTTATTTTCTCATGGTTCTGGAGGCCAGAAGTCCAAGATCAGGGTGCCTGCATGGTCAGGTTTTGGTGAAAATTCTTCCCGACGTGAAAGTGGCACCTTCTCACTGTGTCCTCACATGGTAGAAAGTAAGACAGAGGGCAAGCGCTCTGGTGTCTCTTCTTATAAGGGCACTAATCCTGTTGTAAGCCCTCATGGCCTCATCTAAACCTAATGATCTCCCAAAGGCCCCATCTCCAAATACCATCACATTGAGGGGAGGGGATTAGGGCCTCAGTGTATGAATTTAGGAGGACAAAATTCAGTCTTAGAACATCTTTCTTCTCTTTAATGTAAGTGTTTACTGCTATAAATTTCCTTCCATGTACTGCTTTCACTTCATCCCATAAGTTTTCCTTCTGTTACTGATTTCAAATTTCATTCCATTGTTGAGTCCAGTAGCTGAGCCCCCTCAAAGTAAGCTTCTAATCTCAATTCTTTTTCCTGTGTATGGATGTTGCTTTCCTGTTTCTTTTCATAGCTTATTATTTTTTCTTGAAAACTGGACATTTTAGACAATGTATTGTAGCAACTCTGGGTACTGATTCCTAACCCCCAGGCTTTGTTGTTGGCTTGTTTGTTTAGTTGGAACTTTTCTTTGAAGTCTATTTTTCCCACAGTGTGCAGCCTCTAATGTCACTTCTCAGAGGGAACAACCTTGGGCATGTGCACTGCCACCCTGGAATGACATGGCTCTCTTTGAGTGTCTCTTTTCCCAATCTCCCTGTTAAGCTTCTAGCTGATCTGCCCCTATTGATGTCTCACCCAGCTGTTAGCTTCCAGTAATTGCAGGCTAATTGCTCTATTTTTTCCCAATAGTTCCCCCAACATAGATTGCTGCAGTCTGATCTAGTTTTGGGCTCCCTTGTCTTTGAGGCCATTCTTAGATGCTTGTTCTGACCTCAAGAGGGTTCTTCTAAGCTGTCTTCCCCTGATACTCTCTGTTAAACTTCTAGCTGGTCTGTAGTTTAGCTTGTTTTTGTAAAGCTACCAGGCTCATCTTAATTGTTTATATCCAAAATCTCCATTGTTTTTGACAGCACCCTTAGACTTGAACTTCCCCATACTCTGTTCCAAATAAAGTCTGTCCTCTTAGGGAAAGCTCTCTGTTCTTAAGGCCTGCTTCTCTCCCTGGGAACAGTCTCTGAGCCACTGCTCTGGAACTCTGGATAGGGACAGTGGACTGCTTCTCTTGGAGTGACACCCTTGTTCTACCAGTGGAGTAGTCTTCTTGGCTTGCCTTTCCCAGTGTGAAACCTCCACTCTATGAGTAAGTCGAGCCAGGAGCACTCAGGGCCCAGTATTCTTAGCCTGCCACCTGAGGCAGAGCTTCTGCCCTATGTGTGGGGGCTAGGTGGAGGAAGGGAGCCCCAGACCTATTAGCCTTGCCTTGCTGGAATAGAGTTTCTGCATCATAGAGTTGGGGATGGGGTGGAGTTGGGGGAGAAATGCTTGCCCTTCCTGGGGAGAAAGTATAGCCTTTGACTGGGACCTTGGGGGAAAGAGAGCTCCCAGGCTTTACTTTGCAGGAGTGGAGCTTCCATCTCACTGAGCTGAGGGATGGAGCAGGTCAAGGCTCAAATGCCATAGACTCTCACTATTTTTACTGAGAATTAGTTGATTTTCTTGGATAAATGTTTCTCTATTTGCTGTATGTACTTAGGACAGTCACAGTTTTCAGAGACTTTAAATGGTGGTTATTGTTTGTTTGTTTTTATAATTTTTACCAGTTATGGTTGTTTTGTTGGAGAGAGGGTCTGTGGAGCTCCTTACACCACAATTCTGGAAGTATCCAACTCTCATTCATTTTAAGGGTTCTGTTTTGTTTTTTTTACTCTCAGATCATGCTCTTAATTTAGGGGTTTGCAAACTATAGCCCTTGGATCAAATCTGGCCTGTTTTTCTACATACATTTTCATTGGAACACAGTCATACCCATTTGTTTACATATTGTCTGTGTCTCACAGAATTGAGTGATTGCAACTGAGACCATTTGGCCCACAAAGCCTAAAGTATTTACTATCTGGCCCTTTGCAGAAAAGTCTGCCAACCTCTGCTTTAGTTGATAAGATTTACTAAAGTCTTAAAAATATAAGCTCTTCTGTGCTAAATGTGAGTTGTCAAGAATACCAACTATACTTAAAATCAGATTTTGCTTAAAGAGAAAAATAGCAGATTTTTAATATAAACATGATCTTTTCTCAATATTTTCAGATCTGGTAGCTCAGCGAGGAGAAAGATTGGAATTATTGATAGATAAAACAGAAAATCTCGTGGATTCTGTAAGTATGGGATATGATAATATTTTTCAGGATGTAAAGTAGAGAAACTGTGGTTGATGGCTAACATAGTAGGGAAATGTCTTAAATTTAGTACTTTAGTGTTTTTTTACTTTCTAACCTCCATTATCTGATTCCATTATGATAATAAGGATAACAATAAGGGGTAGAAAAAAGCCATGGTCCATTGATAGCCATTAAGGAAGGTTTGGTTTGGAAAACATACTTAATATACAGAAACAATTCTTCGCAATTGATGCCTACGTAATTTAGCATCTCAGCTGCATATACCAGTCTGTTCTCTGTACATTTTGTAAAACATGAAACAAATAAATGTGCAGGCTAGTTGTGACCCAGTGTGAATCCCGAAAACTGGACAGTTCAGTCACTTTCTTGCTTACTCTGACAGCTTGTATCAAACAAGAGGCAGGGATTGGGAATGGCCAATGAACCTTAAAGGGGTCAGTGTGTCCCTGTGACCTACTTATGCTACAATTACATGTATCTTTGCATTTTCCATCTGGTTAGTGCATGAAAGTTTTGAAGAAAGATGGTAAGATATACAGTGAATTAGAAGGAGGGCAGAGATCACCTACAGTTTGGGTCCACACAATTACAAATTTAAATGCAGACTAGAAGTTTACACATTGAAACGGATCAGTGAATGATGTTCATTCTTACTGGTAGTTAGATTCTAGTGGTTAAGAGCACAAGCTCTAGAGTCAGGCTGCTAATTGAATCCCATCTCTGCCACTTACTAGTTGTGTGACCTTAGGCAAGTTAACCTCTCTGCCTCAGTTGTCATCATCTGTAAAATGGAGATGTGCCTACTTCATAGTGTTTTGAGGGTTAAATCATATAATGCATACAGAGTACCTAACAGTGTCTGGTACGTAGTAAGAGCTATTTAAATGTTTACTGTTAGTTTTACAGAGACATCTATTAACAGTAGGTCTTAGGAGGATAACAGTGTTTTCATCAAAGCACAAGGTAATTGGAGGAAGGGTGGCACCACACAGGAAGTCAAAACACCAGAGTTCTATAATGGCTCACTTTGTAACCTATTGCTGGAGGGCACAGAGGGCAAAGAAGTATGTCATCTCAGATCAGCAGACTAATTTCTTTGGTACTTCCAGTCCATCTCTTAGCTATTCTTAATCTCTGAAGATTACCCTTTTTAGCTGGAGTGGTCTGTGTTTGACCAGTAAGTATTGGTGTGGTATAGTCTGTACTTGCTAAATAGAAGTCTTCTTAATGTTGTTGACTACATGACCCAAAATAGCAAACAGTATTCATTAACTAACAAGTGTCTTCATGGAGGAATAAAATACATACAATAAAGTGCAGCAAGTGTACTACTTTTAATAGGTGTAAAGCTCAGTTATTTTTTACATATGTCTATACCCATGTAACCGCAACCTAGATCAAGATATAAAACATTTCCAGCACCTCTGAAGGCTGCCTCATGCCCTTCCAGTTGATATTCCCCAACAGAGGTAACCAGTTTTCGGACTTACAACACCCTAGATAATGTTCTGCCTATTCTTAAAATGTATAGAAATGGAATCATGTTGTGTGTATCTGGCCTCTTTCAATCACTAGTATATTTTTGAATGTAGTAATAGTTTATTCTTTTTTATTATTTTGTACTACTTGTATAAATCTACCTACCACAATTTGTTTATCCATTCTCCTCTGTAGGGCTTTAATTCTGAATTCTATATTTTGTTCATTGATCATTTTGTCTACTTTTATGCCAGTACCACACTGTATTGATAACTATAGCTTTATAGAATTCCCTATGTCTTCCAACTATGTTCTTACCCAGGCTTGTCTTCACTATTTTAGGTCCTTTACATTTCCATTTATGTTTCAAAATAAGCTTGTTATTTTCCATCCTTTAAAAAAAACTTGTATCTTTGATTGTGATTGCATTTAATCAATAGGTCAGTTTAGGGAGAATTGGTATCCTGATGGCACTGAGTCTTCCTGCCTATAAATATGCCATTTCGCTGCTTTTTTGTAGGACTTAATTGTTTTCAGTAGTATTTTGTATTTTTTGGTGCACAAGTCTTATACATATTCTGTGAAATTTACTCGAGAATTTCCTGTTTTTGTATTCTATTGTAAATTTTTAAATTTCATTTTCCAGTTTTTATCACTAATACATAGAAATGAAACTGGTTTTTATATATTGACCAGGTTTGTATCCTGCAACTTTGCAAAATTCACTCTTTAGTTCTAATACCTTTTTTATAGATTCCTTCCTTTTATTTCTTTTTCTTGCCTTACTGCACTGAGTAGAACTTTCTACACAATAGTGAATACAAGTGATGACAGTGGACATTCTTGCATGTAGCACATCTTATGGTAAAAAATTCAATATTTTTACCAATTATGTTGTTAGCTGTAGGTTTTTTATAGGTACCCTTTATCAGGTGGAAGAAGTTCCCTTCAATTCCTCATTTGAGTTTTATTCATGAATTTTATCAGATGTTTTTTCTCCATCTATTGAGAGGATTATAATATTTTTATAATACCTTATTGGATTTGCTATTGATTTGTTCAGGAATTTTGCATCTGTGTTCATAAGGGATGTTGGTCTATAATGTATTCTTCTTTTTATGCTTTGGTATCAGGGATATACTGGCCTCATAAAACAAATTGCAAAGTGTTACCTCTCTATGCTCCAAAAGCATTTTGAGACTATTGGTATTAGCTGTTTGGAAAAATTCACCAGTGAAGCAGTCTCAGCCTGGAGTTTTCTTTGTGGGAAGGTTTTATGTGTACCGTTTTGCTATTTGTTTCCTATTTGTACCATCTATTCTTTGTTCCCCTCTCCCTCTTTTTCTGCCTTATGTTTGACTGAGTACTTTTTAAATTCCATTTTTACCTCCCTTGGCTTATTAGCTATAACTCTTTGTTTTCTTACTTTGTGATTGCTTTAGGGTTTATGGTATAAGTCTTTAACTTATCATAGTCTACCTCTGAGTGGTTTTATTCCACTTCACAGATAGTCTAAAAACCTTAAGGTAGTATACTTCCATTTTCCCTTCCTGGTCTTGATGCTATTTTTGTCATATTTTTATTTACACATGTATTATAAACCTCGCAATACATTGTTGTTTTTTTTGTTCAACAGTTATCTTTTAAAGAGATTTAAAGAATAAGAAAAACATCTTTTCTATTTACTCATGGTGTTATGATTTCTGGTAACTCTCTTCATTCTTTTGTGTAGATCTGGATTTCCATCCCCTGTCATTTTCTTTTTTGCCCATAGGATTTCTTGTAGTGCAGGTCTGCTAGTGATGAATTCTTTCAGTATTTATATGTCTGAAAAGTCTTTATTTCACTTCCTTTTTTTAAAGATATTTTCACAGTATAGAATTCTAGGTTAATGTTTTTTTCAATATTTTAAAGATGTTTTGTCACTGTCTTTTACATTGCTTCTGACAAAAATTCTACTGTCATTCCTACGTACGTAATGTATTTTATTTCCTATGAGTTCTTTTAAGATTTTATCATTGGTTTTAAGAAATTTGGTTATAATATATGCCTTATTGTAGTTTTCTTCAGCTTTGGGTTTGTTGAGCTGTGGGTTTGTAGTTTTCGTCAAACATTCAGCCATTATTTTTTCAAATATTTTTCTTTTCCTGTCCTCTCCTCTCCTTCTAGGACTCCAATTACATGTACATTAAGTCACTTGACGTTGTCCCACAACTCACTGATGCTCTGTTCATTTTTTTCAGTCTATTTTTTTCTTTGTTTCATTTAGGATAGTTTCTATTGCTATGTCTTCAAGTTTACCTGTCTTTTCTTCTGCAGTTTGTAATCTGCTATTACTCCCATCTTGTGTATTTTGCATCTCTACAAGTTTGATTTGAATCTTTTTTATATCTTCCGTGTGTCTATTTAACATGTGCATCCTTTCCTCTACCTTCTTGAATATATGAAATATATTTATAATTGCAGTGTTTATTCCACTTATGTGTAATGTAAGTATTGATGGAGTTGGGTTTAAGTACGGTATGTTGCTCCTTGGTTCTTATTTGCTCCATCCTCATTGTTCCTCTTTTTCTTTCTTTTGTATACTTACTCAGATATTTTAAAAGTTGTTTCATTTTATAACCTCTTGGGTTTTTAACAGCTTTATTGAATTATTTCTTTATTGGTAAGTAATTCACCGACCATACAGTTGACTCATTTAAAGTGTACAGTTCAGTGGATTTATTATATTATATATGGATATATTACATTATAATTTTTAAATTGTGCTGAAATATATATAACATTTGTCATTTTAACCATTTTGAAGTGTGTAATCCAGTGACATTCATTACATTCACAGTGCTGTGCAACCATCACCACTATCTGTTTCCAAAAGTTTGTCATCATCCCAAACAAATTCCATAACTGTTAATCAATAATTCCTCATTACCACTACCCCCAGTACCTGATAACCTCTAATCTACTTTCTGTCTCTGTGAATTTACCTATTCTAGGTACCTCATATAAGTGGAATCTTATAATATTTTTCCTTTTGCATTTGGCTTATTTCACTTAGCATAATATTTTCAAGTCTCATCCATGTGGTAACATATATCAGAACTTCATTTCTTTTTATGACTGAATAAGATTCCGTTGTATTTATTTACCACATTTTATTTATCCATGTATCTGTTGATGGAACTTTGAGTTGTTTCCATCTTGGAGCTATTGTGAATAATGCTGCTATGAACATTGGCATACAACTATCTGTTCAAGTCCTTGCTTTCAATTCCTTTGGGTCTATACCTAGGAGTACAGTTGCTGGGCCATATGGTAATTCCATGTTTAGCTTTTTGAGGGACTGCCAAACTGTTTTCCGTAGCTGCTGCACCATTTTGCATTCCCACCAGCAAGGTACCAGTTTTTCTACATCCTCACCAATATTTGTTACTTTCCTTCTTTTAATTATAGCCATTCTGATGGGTATAAAGTGGTATCTCATTGTGATTTTGGTTTGCATTTCCCTGATGACTAATGATGTTGAGCATCTTTCCAATGTGCTTATTGGCTGCTAGTATGTGTTCTTTGGAGAAATTATTCAAGTCCTTTGCCCGTTTCTTAATGGTGCATTATCAGTTACTACTGAAACCATCTGCATGGAGTGAAGAGGCCTTAGGCTGGTTAGCTTGCTCTTGTCATTCTCACAGGGATTTTTATATCTTCTTCTTGTTCTCTTCTACCTACACCCACCCCCACCCCCCTGCATCCCCAAAGGAAGCTTTGGTAAGGTGTAACAATTATTCTTTATAGCTGAACTGGTTTTGAATAGGTGATTTGTCAGTGTTGAAATATTGACCTGAAGATTATGAAGGAATGTCTGCCTTAACCTATTGAATCACATAACTATATTTAGATTTATTAGTTTCATTGCTCACTACTTCTTTCTTGTGATTTAGTTTGTGAGTAATTGCGAAGAGTTTAGGCAACTGAGAAGTTCATCAACTATACAGTTTAGAGTGCATGGTCCTCAAGGTCTCCTTTAGTTCTGACGCCAACTGCAAGTTTGTTTGTTCCAAAAACCACCCTTAGGTTTGATAATTCACTAGAAGGACTCACAGAACTTTAATGAAAGCTGTTGTACTCACAGTTATGGTGTATTACAGGCAAAGGATACCGATTAAGCTCAGCCAATGGAAGAAGCACATAGGATGGAGTTCAGGGAGGTACCAAACCCAGAGCTTCTGGTGTCCTCTCCCCATGGAATCAGGACATGTTACTTTCCCAGCATAGATGTGTGACAACACACATGGAGTATTATCCAATGGGGAAGCTTGCCCAAGCCTCGGTGTTCAGTTTTTATTGAAATTTCATTACATGGGCACGATTGACTGCCTACTTGCTTGATCTTAGTCACTAGTCTCTGGCTCCTCTAGGTGTGACCCAAAGTCCCTACCCTAAATCATATTGTTGGTCTTTTTTGAGTGAGTAGTCCCCACCCTAAATCACATTGCTACTATTTGGTGAGCCTGTGGCCCCCAGGCAAGCAAAGATTACCTCCTAGAAGCTGAGGGCAAAGATCAGACCCCTTTTGGGGCAAGGTTAAGTTCTTTACTACACAGTATAGTTGATGGGCATTTGGATCATTTCCAGTTTTGAGATAAGACAAGTAGTGCAGTTAGAAACATTTTTGTGTGTCTTTTGGTAAACTTGTGCATACATTTCTATTGGGCATATACCTAGGAGTGGAATTGCTGGTCTATTAGGAATTTTTTTGTTTGTTTTAAATTGCCTAATGTCCTAGTGGGAATGGTTCAGTAGATATTGAGAAATTGATGTTGCAAAAGCAAATGGATAACTGAAGGGAGTGAAGTTCTTTTGGCCCTCATACAAGTAAATACATATCTTCTTATGGAAATTAAACAGGCTTTTATGGCTCAAAAGCCCAGGATTATCCTGGGCAGAATAGACAAATGTTTTTGCATCCGACTGGCTTAAAAGGAGCCTTTCTTATTGGAAGCAAAAAGAGGAAAAGGCTTTTCGACTAGCGGGAAGAACCACTTCTGGTGCTCGACGTCATGTGCGTTGCTTCAGTGTAGAAGAAGAAGGAGGGAAACTTTTCCAGCAGGCTCATACTGCTTACTATAGACCTGGCAGTGTCCTGCTTTTGAGAACTAGTCATTACGAATGGCCACCCTCTACCTGTGAAGAGAGGGGAAGGGTAAAGAACATTGCTACTTCAACAGAATTAATGAAAGTAAAAGTTTTACAGGTATTATTCCAAATCAGTCATGTAATCGGTTCCAAGGATCAAGCAATTCATGCTTTTTTTCTAGTCTGTCACCTTCAAAACAACCAGCAGAAATCTTGCCCGAGCCATGTGTATGAAGAATCTCAAGCTCACTATCATCATCATCATCGTATCAATTGTAAGTTTTTGTCTTTTTAGTGTGTGATTTTATTTTTCAATCTCTAAAAAATTAGGTGCTGGAATTCTTTGTCAATGATCAGCACTCCGAGATGAGCTACATATAACTTTTAATGGTGAAACACGTGACCAGGCAGTGGCTTTCCTTTAAAGTCATTATGAAATATTATCTCTGCTTAGACCCCTTCTCCCTGTTGAGAATTCCTGTGTGTAAGACGTCATGCAAGGCATTCCAAATATTCCTGGATGTTTAACATTTTTGTCACTACCAAAATAAGATTCTTTTAAAATTACATTTTCTAATTGATTCCGTATTTTCTAATTATATTTCTATTTTATACTTGATTCTATTTCTTTATTTCTGTTTTCTCTTTTCTAGTTGATTTATTTTGTGTCTGGTGACCTTGCATATCTCTTATTAGTTGCAATAGTTTGTTACTTGATTCTTCTGTATGCTATAGGTCAGGAGTCAGCAAACGTTCTGTCAAGTGCCAGATAGTAAATATTTTAGGCTTTGTGGGTCCCATGTAGTCTCTCTCACATATTCTTCCTTTTTTAAAACAATCCTTTAAAAGTCTAAAAACCACTGTTAGCTCACAGGCCAGGGGCTGTAGTTTGCTGATCCCTGCTATAGGTGAATTTTGATAGCATCTGTTAATAATTTTAACCTCATCAAATTTGTATATATATATATATATATATATATATATATACACACACACACACACACACACACATTTATATAATTTTATATATATTTTTTGTATTTACTAGCAATGTTGAATAATTTTGATGTGAATGGACATCTTTATTTAGTTCCTGGTTTTAATTGGAATGCTTCTAATATTTCATTTATAAGAACAATATTTACTATGAATTCTTAGATATTTTTTTATCCAATTAAAGAACTTTTATTTCTAGATGGCTAAAAGTTTTTATCAGGAATTAATTTTAGGAAATATTTCTCTGCCCAGTGAATTGATAATGTGACTATTTACATTTAATATGAATGTATTGAGTTACATTCATAAATACACTTATAATTATCCTTTCATTTCTAGGATAAATACTAAGAGATCATTATGTACTATTCTTTTAATGCATGATGAGTTCAATTTTCTAATATTTAGTAGTTCTGTTGTCTATAAATATAAATTAGTCTATATGCTGTTCTCCTTTTGGAAACCCTATGTAAACAGATATTGGACCTCTTTGAACTATCCTGCATGTCTAATAACCATTTTAATATGTTTAAACTCCTTTTTCGCATTGCATTCTGGGAGAATTATTCAGCTAACTCCTCCAGCAAACTAATTTCATTTTCAGCGCTGTCCATTCTGCTATCCAACTCTTCTATTTATTTTTCAGAGCCATGTTTTAAATTTCTAAGAACTCTTATTATTCTTACTTTAACCCTTTTTTAATGGAACTTGTACTTGTTAACAGAGAGACTCCTTGAATTTCTTTGGATATATATTAAGAGATATATCACAAGGAATTAGTTTACACAATGGCAGGAGCTGGCTAGGCAAGTCTGAAATCTGTAGGGCAGGCTGTCAGGAAGGTCAGGCTAGACCTCTGGGGCAGGAGCAAATCTGTAATTCACAGGCAGAATTTCTTCTTCAATGAAACCTCAGCTCTGCTCTTAAGGCCTTTTAACTGATTGAATCAGGCTCATTCAGATTATGTGGGATAATCTGCCTTACTTAAAGTCAACTTTGTGAGCTTTAATCAGATCTACAAAATACAACATCACCTAGATTAGTGTTTGGTTAAATTACTGCACACTATAGGGTAGCCAAGTTGACGTACAACTGACTTTATAGAAATATAGTCATGTTTATATGTAATGGGTTTATTATTTTTATTTTTAAATGAATTATATATGTACTTTTTAAAAATTTCATTTCTAATATGATAAGCGTTAATAGTTACAACCCCACAAGCAAGAGATCTTTGGAGTCCTCACTAACTTTTGAGAGTGTTAAGAGGTCCTGACCCAAAAGTTTGAGAGCCACCACTCTATGCAGGGTGAGGGAGATGCTTTACTTTGGGGGCAGTTAGTGGCTGGGTAAAGCAGCCTTTCCTCTCCATCCTCTTGTCATTTGCAGAAGCCCAAAGTTAACTCCAAGCAGATACCTGTGACTTGGCTTCCGCTTCTCGACCACTGTCAAAGGTCCACCACCTTCGGCAGCTGGACCTACCTAACAGAGAAGGGTCACAGATCTGTCAGTTATAGTGGAAATTGTGCCATGGCCTTGAATGTCTCCTTGCTCAGGATCCTCAGGTGGTGCATTCTAGGCTTCTCAGCTTAGCTTCTTCCTTCTTCTTTGATCTGTGAATTTATATTGATTTATGAAGCTGCATTATTGTTCAATTCAGTTTGTATTTATTTATTACTTATTGCCTATGCAGGGCACTGCTTTGCCAAAGGTGTTGTTAACCTGATATATGGTGCTTTAGCTTTAAAAATCCTTATATTTCGGTTGTGGCAAATAGTCAACTGTATATTAAATTGGACTATCTGTGTGAGTGTGTGTGAATATGATGTGAGTAGTTTAACTTATTTATTAATAACCAGAATTTGGTGTAACTGTCCCCCAACATTTGTAGAGAAGTAAGGCAGAACATTTGCTGACTTTTGGGAGGGAGTATGGAATTGATAAATGTATGTTTCCCAAGCATGTGAGTAATGAAGTCAGTCACTTAAATATCTCAAAAAGTTGTAATTTAAAGCAAAATAAAATGGCTAATTTAATGCAATGAGCCTAATGTTTAAAATAAATGTATTTTTTGGAATATCATAATATGAGCAAGCATATACTATTAAAATAGCATTATTTAAAATTAGTATAAATCAAAGGTAATACATCTATAATAGAACTAGCCTTTTTGCTGTGTTACTTGTGTCATTAGCTTTCCTTTGATTTGATAATTATAATTATTGTGTTATTATCCGCAGAAAGATTCATAGCAACATTCTTGTTCATAGGTGATATAGATGTAGAGTCTCTACTCATGCTTCTTCATATTTTTTATCATGCTAATAATGAAAAATTAATTCATGTGTAAAACCTAAAAATGTACTTAATAATAAAATCATACTTAAAGGGAATTACGGTAATTTATCTTTTTGACTATTAATGTTTCAGTAAGAGTTGCTCATACAGCTCGATTCTGCCTAGTTCCCAGTGAAGAACATCAATTTCATTGCTTTCTCTCCCTCTTAAGAGAGCATAGTGGAATTCAAGTAGGTGAGAGTTATATCAGAAAGGATAATTTTAATTGCATTTCTGTCTTTGAAAATACTTGATTAGTGCATTGTATTATTATGCAGCTGCCACTCTAATGGAACCAGTATTTGTTAATAGGTCTTTACTTTGCTTTATATTATTTAGGAGCCTACGATAGAGTCAAGAAAATAAAATTGCTTTCTCCCTCCTTCCAGGTGTTCATCTATATCATTGTGTCACCTCTCTGTGGTGGATTTACATGGCCAAGCTGTGTGAAGAAATAAAAAAGCAAAAGTTGTCGTTAACCAAGGGTATCAGAGAACAAGGAGTTAAAAGCAGTCCATGTGATTCAAGCCTTTTAATACTGACAGATGGTGTCTGTCAGTCTCTTCAACCCTCTTCTTGCTTTTTCTTTTTTTTAATCTTGTTCTATGCCTCCAGATTTATCTTTGTCCTATCTACCAATTTATTCCTGTGCACTTCAGATTGAACCATTTATTGCAGCAGTAGCCTTAAAAAGGCTTTTTATTTCTTTGGTTCATTAACTAGCGTCATCTACTTAGAGAAACATTTTCGTTTGTAATTGCAGAAAGCTGATACCAAGGGGGAAACCACCAGTCTTATGAGCTGTCTACTGAAACTGTGGGTGAAGTTTGTATGTGCACACAAAAGTATTTAAGAGACATATAGTATTGCTAACATCTCATTTTAATGTCTTTTGTTATTGAAGAGTTTTAGGTGCTTGAAAATAATATAAATGGAGAATTGTTATTTGGGGAATTGTAATTAAATTGTTGATGCTGCTTGTTTCTAGGAACCCAAGCAAGTAGAGTATTAAACATTTTATCTCAGTCATATGGAGAACATTTTGCTAGCCCATTAGAAGCACATGGAATTATCCTTGTCTTCCTAGTATTCACTTTCGGGAAGAAAGTTTGACCATTTACAAACCTCATAGTGCTTGATATTCTGTTTCCCAATTGCAGTTGATTTGAGAATATGATGGTTTAAATATCGTTGAAGGTTGTGGTTTTCTATATGTTCCTTTTTCTGTAGTGGATATTTAGGGCAAATATGTAGTTAATAGAAGGGGTCGTAGAGGGAATGGGGAAGCAAATTCCTCTGACTCACCAGAGAAAAAGAAGAGAACCACAGTGGATGTGCTAGCATTCTAGCTGTATGAAGGGAGGTCATGTGGGAAATTTTTTTAAGTCCGAGAAAAGCCCAAGCTGAGTATAGTCAACAGTCAACTCCAAGGTTTGGGTTTGACTCTGATGAATAATAATTTGAACATCTTTTGTGGTTTAATAAGATCTTTAATCTGCCTAGTTTTGAAGAATTCTTTTGTGAAACTTCAGCATTGACGTTATGATGTATGGAAACAATACAAGACAGTTTAACATCCATTTAACTGGAGTGTGAAAACTGGAGTGTAATCATACTGCTTCAGCTACTCTGACATCTGTTAGCTAGTATGTACTTTTGGTGTGTATCTGAAAGGACATTTGCTGCCCTAGATATAACTGCATTTATTTATCAGTAAATGCCAGTAAATGGAAATTTTTTTACATGTGACTGTTTTCCCAATGAAAGAACAAATTAGTCTATAAACCCTAGCCACCTGTTTAGCCTAGTCATGTGCCTTGAATATATATGTGTCACATAATCTTCCTCATGCTACCTGTTCTTCCATCTAAATCTTTTGAATCATGCTGATTCATTTATTTCACATATTTTAGGCTCACTGGAACTATTCCTGGTAATCATGCATAACACAACTGTTTTTCCAGTTTTTCCAGTCTTGTTTATCAACACTAATGCCTTTTAATTACATCACCATTTCCTATTGGAAAACACGTTTGTTCCAGGAAAACATTTAGCATTCCTGAATAATAATTTCCAAATGTCTTTAATCCAAAGAGAAAGACTTAAAGCTTATTTCCCTTTCTTATACACACCGGAATAAAAATGATGTGCATGTTTTAGGGATAAATTATGTAACTGTCCCTTGGTCTATTTATGTATAAGAATGCTTTTTTAAAGCACATATCTTGTTTTAAATGATGCATTAATAAAATTTAAAAGTAATACAATAGGTTGCTTATTTGTGACCTGGAACCTTTCAGTAAAGAGCTATAGCATTGTCTCAGGTGTATAAAATGTTTTCAAAACCAAAGACACAAAAAACTTTAAAAACATAAGTAGGCCATACTAAAACCAATGAAAAATCCTGAAATGACCACACAGCCTCCACAACTATCATCCTGAGACCATGATTGAAACAACAGAAAAAAACCCTCAGGAATTGTAATCTGATTCAACACAATTCTGGAAAATCTATCTAAAGTTGGAAGGCATGGCTCAAAGGAAGGTATAAGAGGGTGGGAGCGAATAATTGATTATAGCAAACAGGTCTAGCTAAGCAAACAGTAAAAAGGGCCAAAGATCAAATGTACAAAAAGCTGGGCCACAACAAGATAATAATCAGTCACTTGGGGCCTTTGAACTTAGGTAACTGAAGTCAGGAACAGTAGAATATGTTTTTGTACAGGCTAGAGAAACAAGAAAACAGCCCATTTAACTTCTCTGCAGGCCTCCTTCAGGTTTCAACTGAAGTATGCACTCCCTAACCAAACACTTAGAATAAAAAAAAAGATGGCTTTTTATTTGGTTGTCATGAACAAGGAAAGAAGCAGCACAAGCTATTTCTTTTTACTTCAAACCCTTGACTACAAGGTCAAATAGTGTCACAATCTGTAAGTTTCCTTCAGAATGAATGGACATGGCTTACATCGGAAAACGTTTCCTCCTTGCTTAACTCTGCTGGTACCTATCTTTCCTGGCCTCGAGATAGGTGAAGAAATTGGGTTGCTTCCCAGGGTATCTTGGTGGGAATGGATGTAGCAACAATAATAGCAACCCTAGGCTCTCCTACAGTGTTTTACATTAGAAGCAGGTCTGTTTCTGACAGCTCCATCTTTTCAAGAATAATAAATTACTTGGAATGGTGGTGCTGGTGGTGCTGGTGCTTGACCTACGATTCAGTTTGAATTCAGTGAGGAAAACAGTGCCAAGTATTATGGAAACAAGGGGTTTAATACAGGATTCAAGCTTACACAGCTGTGTGACAAACTGGGAAGGGAAGGTCTGAAAGGGAGCTGCCAGGGATCAGAGGAACAGTCCTAAGTATTTTCACTTGAAACACTGCCACTAGTGGACAGACAGGTTGAAGCTTGCTGGAAAATGTGAGAATCCCTACATGTCTGTTTGCCAAAGTGGGTGCGTGAAGAGGGACATGTGGAAAGGTTTGTGGAAGCCACAGCCTCAGTAGACCTGATGTCAAGTACCTGACTTGTGGCCGCAATTGGTCAGCAAGGCCAGTAGTCAGGAGGGTGAGTTGGATGTGGAGTGGTGGAGATTGAGAAAAATTTAGGGTACTCCAGGCCTATTAGCATCTTCATGTCTGATTGCCCTGACCTTCAGAGTATTGGCCTCCACCTCCCTTCTGCTTTCCAAGTCTCATGTGAGTTCATTTCACTGGCAGAACATAATCCTAAAAGCATATAGGGAAAATAGTTTCTATGAAACTCTCAGTTTATGGGAAGAGCAGTGGTGCCAGTGCAGCATAGCCAAGTTCTTCCTAGATTCATTCATAAAATCAGTTTAACTGCTTTATCTTATGGAGAAAGACCATTTGGGTAAGTTAAAGCATTCTTTTGGTCAGGGCACATTGTACAAAATTATTTTGGATTCATTCTGTTTATTAAACCAAAAATTATCTAAATCCGAAATATGTTGTAACTTTTTACATCTCTTTTCCAACGAGAAGGAAAACGATGACAATACTCTGTATAAGAAAATTCACACACACAGGCTGACCCCTGATTTACCGTTTTCATTCCAAGTTTGGAACTGCATAAGGAAAACTTTAAAAAGCCTCATGCACAAAGAGATCAGAGTGCCCCTTACAGATTTTCACTTCTGGCCAAGATAGGGTAACAGTGACTGTATTTTCCTTCCTGCCTGAAGTAACCCCCCAAAAGGACAAAATATATGAAACAACAGTTGTTAAGGCACACCTCCAGGCGATGAAGGGCACTGGTACTTCAAAGAGATGAACCCAACAATTGCCCCAGCTTATTATGTTGAGAGTATCCAGGCCATGATGCAGTGAGGAGGAACTCACGAAGAGCCTGGCAGATTCCCTGGGTTGAGACGTGACTCAGATTTCCAAGGAGACCAAGACGCGTGGTCTTTGTGGGGCACTGGAGAGGAGAGAGCTGCAGAAAAGAGAACTCCAGAGATCCCTGCCCAATGCCAGGGAAAGAACCACCCAAAAAACATCAGAGGGAAAGTATCCTCCACTCACACAGGACTATTGCCTGTACCCACGAGACAGCTGGGAAAACCTCATGTCTCACGGAGTATTGGGTAAAGTACTCAGAAGGGTCTTGCCTGGACCAGGGTTTCTCAACCTTGCCACTGTTGGTATTTGTTGCCAGATATTCTTTGTTGTGGGAGACTGTTTTGTGCATTGTGGGTTATTTAGCAGCATCCCTGACCTCAGCCCACTAGATACCAGGAGCACCATCTTCCCAATTGTGACAACCAAAAATGTCCCAAATGTTTCTGCAAAGTTGGGGTGGAGGAGCAAAATCAACCCTGGTTGAAAACCACTGCCCTAGACTAAACAAAATCTTGTCCAGCTTGCCAAATCTTAAAAGTCACACCCGAGGGATATCAAGCTGTTTCCAAGTAACTGTCCCAGAAAAAAAGCTCAAGAATATATGGGAATACAAGCATACAGCATACCAACAAGGCAAAAGATCAGGGTCAGGCGTCAAATCAAAAATTATCAGTCGCACAAAGAAGCAGAAGAATATGACCAATACTAAGTCAATTTAAATAAGTGGGGAACTGACATAGATGTTAGAATTAGCAGACAAAGACATAAAAAGAGTTGTTAATAGTGTATTCTATATGTTCAAAAAAAGAAAGCATAGACAGAATAAAAGAAGGCCCATTGAATTTCTGGAGATGAAAACTAGGATTTCTGAGATGAAAAATACACCAGATAGGATTAAAGGCAGAGTAGACTTTTCAGAAGAAAAGATTACTGGCCTTGAAGCCATAGCAATATAAACTATCCAAATGAAATATAACAAAAGATAAATGGCAAATGTCTATTTTAAGAAATGAATCAACTCTAAATGCCTGTAAGGAACCCAATTTAAACACTAATACACAAATAGGTTAAAAGTAATAACAGGAAACAATACACCATGCTGACAGAAGAAGAAAACTTGAAAAGCTATTGTAATATCAGATGAAGTAGATTTCAGAACAAAGACTATCCAGGGGTAAAGGAGGTTATTTCATAATAGGAATGTGGCCATTTGTTGGGAGTCAGGCTATAGGGATTAATGTTGGGCAATAGGTTTTCGGCTGCCTCTGAGTGCAGGCAACATGATATGGGAAGAAAAAAATGAAATACTAAAGGTTTGTAATTCAGATTATGGACTCTAATCTGTCTGTTACCACTATTTTTCAGTCTTTAAATGAGCTTTTCCGTAAATTCTGTCCAGTGATGATAATTAGATTCATTGGGAGAAATATAGAGGAATTTGTTTTATCTATCTTGCCCAGAAAGTAAAGCTCAGTGAGAATTGATACTGGACATGCAGTAAGAGAAGAATAACAAAAAATGCAAAACGTAATTTATGAATTATATTTTGCTGAATAACTACAACCCCAAAACGGGAATAAGAAAAATACAAATATTTCCCAGGGTTTGGTTAACATTCCAGTAGGGGTTAAGGTTAGGGTAGGGGTTTAGGGTTAGTGGTTAGGGTTAGGTTAAGGGTTTAGGGTTAGGGGTTAGGGTAAGGGGTTAGGGTAAGGGTTTAGATCTAGGGCAAGGGTAAGGGTTTAGGGTTAGAGTAAGTGTTTAGGGCTACGGCTAGGGCAAGGGTAAGGGATAGGGGTTAGGGCTAGGGTTTTAGGGCTGGAGCTAGGGTGCTGGATAGGGTGAGTGTTTTAGGGCTAGGGCAATGGGGATGGTTAGGGTTAGGGATAGGGCGAGTGCGATAGTTTGGGTTCGGGTTCGGGGTTTGGGTTCAGGTTCTGCTTCGGGTTCAGGTTCACACTAGGGTTAGGGTTTAGGGTTTAGTCTTAGGGTTTCGGGTTCAGGTTCACACTAGGGTTAGGGTTTAGGGTTTAGTCTTAGGGTTTAGGGTTAGGGTTTGGGTTAGGGTTAGGGTTTAGGGTGACGGTTAGGGTTTGGGTTAGGGTTCGGGTTAGGGTTCAGGGTTCCGATTCGGGTTTAGGGTTCGGATTAGGTTTCGGGTTAGGGTTCGGGTTAGGGTTAGGGTTAGGGTTAGGGTTAGGGTTAGGGTTCGGGTTTAGGGTTAGGGTTAGGGTTCGGGTTAGGGTTCGGGTTAGGGTTAGGGTTCGGGTTAGGGTTAGGGTTAGGGTTCGGGTTAGGGTTCGGGTTAGGGTTCGGGTTAGGGTTCGGGTTAGGGTTCGGGTTAGGGGTTCGGGTTAGGGTTCGGGTTAGGGTTAGGGTTAGGGTTAGGGTTACGGGTTAGGGTTAGGGTTGGGTTAGGGTTAGGGTTAGGGTTTAGGGTTAGGGTTAGGGTTAGGGTTAGCAGGTTTCGGGTTCAGGGTTCATAGGGTTAGGGTTTAGGGTTAGTCTGGTTAGGGTTAGGGTTTAGGGTTCGTAGGGTGTAGGGTTGGGTTAGGGTTGGGTTAGGGTTCTTCGATGGGTTAGGGTTGAAGGTCGGTTAGGGTTGGTAGGGTTAGGGTTAGGGTTAGGGTTAGGGTTAGGGTTCGGGTTAGGTAGGTTCGGGTTGAGGGTTAGGGTTGTTGTAGGGTTGTCTTCGGTGTAGTTGGGTTGGGTTGGGTTCGGTTCGTTGTGGTGGTGTGGTGTGGGAGGGTTAGGGTTAGGGTTAGGGTTAGGGTTAGGGTTAGGGTTAGGGGTTAGGGTTAGGGTTAGGGTTAGGGTTCGGGTTAGGGTTAGGGTTAGGGTTAGGGTTAGGGTTAGGGTTAGGGTTAGGGTTAGGGTTAGGGTTTGGGTTTAGGGTTAGGGTTAGGG